TGTGTATTTTATAAACATCTGAATATGAATAAAAATGGACATAAAACAAGCAAGAAAATACAAACCTTGTGCTGCTTCACCTCAGAGAGTACCATGGGAATCTAGTTTGTGGGAAAGTAAATTATAGCGCAACTATAGAATAGGACTAGAAAGAGTCATTTTGTCGGGCTTATGAATATAAAAGAAGCCTGAAATGGGCCATTAAAATGTACGGTGTTTAATTATAAATTTATTGAAAATTTTATGTGCAGTATCGGCAGCCCATATTCGATCTACATAATTATATTTTTCGACATCTTTCACAGTCGCTATGAGGACTATCTTTGGTGTACTTTTTCGGAGATTTTAAAGAGGTTTCCCGGTATCAACATTCCATTGAACGATTTAGGTAATACCAAATTAAACACATGTGCTAACCACTTAAAAGTACTAAAGGTGGTACGCATTATAGTGTGCTACCTAAATCGCGAGTTACCCATTTGAAACAATGTGCTACCCATTTGAAAGTGTGCAGCCTATTTGAATTAATGTACTGTGCATTATAGATGCTTTTTAACGCATTTGGAATCATGTGCTACCCATTTCAAATAGTGTGCTACCTATTTGAAATCATGTGCTATCCATTTCAAATAGTTTGCTACCTATTTGAAATCATGTGCCCTGCATTTCAAATCGTTTGCTACCCATTTGAAACATTGTGCTACCCATTTCAAGTAGTGTGCTACCCTATTTTAAATCATGGCTACCCATTTCAAATCGTTTGTTAACCATTTGAAACAATGTGCTACCCATTTCAAATAGTGTGCTACCCATTCGAATAATGTGCTGCCCATTTCAAATAGACCATTGTAAACAACCGGTTTACTCATTCGAAATAATATGTACAATTCAATCTTCTGTACTAGGGTTGCCTCCCCACCCTGGCCTATCAAATGACAACGTTAATCCGGGTCTGTTTTAAAAAAAGAAGGAACACAAGTCGATTTCACGGATCATCAGTTAATTGCGGTCTTTTTGATGATTCCAAGCCATTATAACATACATAAAGCCGATGATAGTGCAATCGAAGTACAGTACTACATCAGTTCAGATAGCCAACCCTCTCTTTAGTTATAACTTTATTTTACATTGACGAGTTAAAAATGAATGCCTCTGATACTATTATACATGCAGTTGTTTTAAAGAAATTTGTACCTGGAAAAAAGCGTTTTTATTTAAAAAATTACCCACACATAACTACAGACCAAAAACGCGGGCGTCTATTCAGGCAGGCTTTTTTCGAAGAATGAAACCGGGTTCGAGGAAAGTAAAGACGGATACATTCTATTACTACGTTCGCGAGGCTGTCGTGATGACCATAGATGAAAGTTGTGTTACCAATAAGGGAAAGGGAGAATCGGACAAGGAACTGTTCTTATAAAGGAAACCGTACTGAAGGATGACATTAAAACAGCGTTATATGAGGAACGGGTGAAAAGAATGAGGGAAGAAAAAAGAGCACAATCTTTGAAAATTAGACTAGAAAAAGAACTGGAGATGTGATGCAAAGCCATCCAATTGGACTTGGCCAATATAAAACCAAGCTCTTCTAATCAAATTCCGCACATCGATTATCACCATTTATTTAATTTAAACACTAGGATTGGGAGTGGAACTTTCGGACGTGTGCACTTATATCGCTATCGAA